CGGCGGCTCTGATACCATGTAGAAAGAGTAGGGTTTCAAGATTACATTCTCTCATTGAAAGAATGGCTTATATAGCCTTACACCCACATTTACATAAAACCCCTCTAATATTCCCTAATTACATTATCTTTTCAACAGAATAATATATCATGTCTTAGAAAATAAGGCATGAGGAAAACAGTTAAGATTAAAATTTATCAGCGAAACTGTGAAAGTAGCGAACATATGTATTCACTACCTGTCTGTAATATTTCCTAAATTAGTAAATACTTCCTGGTAAGTTTTGAATCCTTTGTGTATAAATTGATTGTCATTAGTGAATTCGGTTTAACAAGTTATGGAGATGTATGTTTTCTTTTTTTTATAATTATCAAGAATGCTTTAGTTTGTAATAGTTTCCTAAGACAATTATGTTTCTGATAACCTAAATATGTCTATAAAATATCATTAACATAGTAAAAGAATGCAAAGAAGCATAACTAATAAAACATATATGACATACTATTTGTTTTTCAATACCTATTACACATTATTATCGTGTAAGAGATTGTTGATCAGAGAATCAATTTTCACTTCTTACTACTCACTAAAATCAGCTGCACTCCCTCACTGGCAATTATTAGCATTTTCGTTATCTTTTAAGTTCATCTGTTGCAGAAGTTAATTTGTGTAAATGAGGTTAGATTAAGAATAACGATAGACTGGATTTCATGAGAATGCTATGTGATCATACACAGAAGTCGGTGCTGTCATAAGTTTTGGCATGCCCGATGATTGATTAATCGGAGTGAGGCACTTCACATGGTCTCATGAGGTTATGGTTCAATAAGCATTGGATGATTAAAAACTCATATTGTGTAATATTGAGAAAGCAAACTTAAAATTTTACTAGCAGGCTAGCTCTGGCCACACTTTGCTTATACCAATATATGGTCCCATATTAAACTTGAAACAATATCTGCGACTGTTGCTAACTCAAGATAGTGATTAGCAGCAGTTTTAATCTAATAATTGATGTATGCACTTGTCCTTTTCCTTTCATTTGAAGAACAACATGCATCTGTAGGGACAACTCTAAATATGCAGTAGCACCCATCACTTATCTCCCTGTTTGATGATTCTTATAGGTCTTAATGCTAAAGGGACAGCGGGCTTAATTTTTGTTGTGAAAATAAATGCTTGTTATCTTTGCTTGCCAAATATATCTTAGTATGGTACAATTTGTTCTGGCCAAAACAACTACTTATTTGACCACTCAATCTGTTTCAACCTGTTTATTGTCCTTCTGTCACTATCAAAGAGCATAATAGAACTAGTCTAACTAAATGAAGAAGATTGCTAGTAATTTATTCTAAAACTTGTACGTAAAGTTCTTACAACTTTCAGAATCTACCTCTGTTTATTTATATTTTATGCCCCTTTTAGAAAAAAGACGGTGGACTTGCTTGAACGTATTTCATAATCCAGTCTCGTAATCTTACCAGCATGTGATATCCCTTAAAAAACAAACAGTTTGATAGATACCTAGGAAAGACTAACAAATTTGAAGGGGAAATTTCATCATGTGAATCTGCAAGAAGTTCTACATTTCAATGAAAGACATGAATCTGCCACAAGATCATGTGTGTCCACGATTTAATCAAAGTTTTCGATCACTTCAGATTTTAATCCTACTTGAAGGAATTCATCGAGGCCTGTATATCTTCCAGTGTTCTTCCTTTGGTTTCTGGCACCATCGTCTTCACAAATACAACAGAAAGACCACAAATGCATGCAAAAATGAAGAATGTACCTACAGAGAGGAGTGAAAAAGAAACAATCTTTAGTAAAAGGAATAACAGATTGCTTTATCTCATAAGTAAGCGACCATCATCACCTGATGAGCTCCAGGACATCATAAAATTGAAGACATATGATAAAACCCAAGAACCAAACCAGTTCATTAACGTCACGAGGCTTCCTGCAGATCCTTTCATGTTGATGGGAAATATCTGAACCAATAATGATATGATCACATTCTTCTCGTTCTTGTCAATGTAAAGTTTTAACTGCGAGATAGACCCCATGCAGAATTGTTGTTTTGAACTTAATATCCCTCTAGTTTTATTATTGCAGATAAACCTCCTGTGTGAATCCTTTTCCAATTCTTTTACCCTCAAGGGGTCTATTTATCAGAAAACATTTTTCTCTTCCTCAAACGGGTAAAAGAGTCCAAAAAAAAAAAAATCCTTAGAGGTCTACCTGCAACAATAAAAGTAGAGGGGCAGTAGGTTCAAGACAAAGGTACTGCAGGGGACCTATCATAAAACTAAAATGACTTGCCTCAGACATAATAACCCATGGTATTGCCCCCATTCCCAGAGAGAAAGAACCTGTAAACACCTGGTTTCAGATAACAGGCACACAGAAAAGTCAGCTTCACTAACCGCGGAAAAAAGTCAGTAAATGCATGAAGAAAATTTACCAGTAAGCCCGTCAAAGCCAGTATCGGTTTCAACTGTGATTGAGAAGAAGCCTGCAAGGCGAATGAGATGCCTACCAACAAAGTGCCCAAGCACGTTCCAGATGATGAAACCTGAAAAGCTTCCAGCATTTTCTTGGAGTCTATTAAACGTATGTTGGTGTTAAAAAAAAAGGTTGGGTTAGTTTTCTTAGTTAGTTTACCAATAAGAGTGGTCTTCTTCCAGATTTATCCATCAGGAAAGCACCGACTGCAGTCATTGGAAACTGAAGAATAGCATACATGGTGGTTCCCAGTTTGCCCGACGAGAAACCTGGTTGACATCCAAGAAAGCTAGAATTACCAACAATTTGAAGGAGTTTGTGAAAATATTGCCTAGCTAGTTTACCTGCTGATACAAATATTTTACTGGCATAGAAGGTAATCCCGTTGACTCCCCCAAATTGCTGAAAAGCCATTAGTCCAACTCCAACCTGTTCTTTTCACCAATAAAATGATTTGAAATGTTGTTAGGAAAAAGAGGTGAATGCTGAAACTTGGGAGTACTTACGATGACAGCACGAAGGTAGCGCCTCTGAAACAAGTCCAACATCCTGCCTTGTGGGAGGCTTTGAAGGGTTTTTGTGAATTCCTGTTATAAAAGATGTAGGGTCAGCTTCATATTGTTCTGTTAATCACAATATTTTGATGTACAAGGTGATTTCTTGGTGCAGAATTTAGTACCTTAATCTCATCAGCCTCTTCAGAAATATCACAACCCTTGCCACGGAGCCTCTGTAATGCCGATACAAACTCATTATCACGACCAGTCTTTGCCTGCATAAGACTTCTTTAGTTTTATTGACACGATAATTCTGTGGATGTTAATTGATAGCTAATGCATAAAAAATTAGCATCAATAACTTTGTGGCACGCCAGTTACCAGCCATCTAGGAGATTCTGGAATGAAAACGAGTCCAACAAGTTGTAATGTACATGGAGCAGCTCCTGCAAAATAAATCTAAATAAATTAACTTCTAGTCTAGTCGTTATAATGAATGTAGTTTGTTGTAAAGCCTTCCGAGAACTTATTTATTAACTACATTGGGATTATTTTCAGTTTGTAATTCCTTATTAGAGAACTTAATTTTCAATTGTTACTTTTCCTGCTAGATGAAGACTTACGAACGGAAGGCTACAGACAAGCTACTTTAAGATTTTCGTTAGATAAGTAACAATATAAATAAATAATCCATGCAATACTGGAACTGAGAGCTATGGATACCTATAAGTGCTAGAGTACGCCAAGGCAATACGTTCCCTAACACATACACAAGAGATACTCCACCACATATCAGTAACTGCATATGATACAAAGAATTCACTTAGGACTCAAGCTGGAAAAAAAAGTTATATAAATTTCTCTTTTTGTGCCTACCTGATTCACTGTTGTAAAACCTCCCCTGAGATCCTTCGTTGTTATTTCTGCTATGTATATTGGCACCTGTTAAGCCGATCCTTAGCATTAGTATTTCTCACTACATGATTAATAATAGCTATAACTGTATACAGATGTTAAGAAAATAATTGATAATGTAACTAAAAATTATATCAATTAGACCTATTCAGGAGCTACAGAAGAGAGTTTGTTGCACCAACCACATATGAAACGAGCCCAATTCCAAATCCAACTGAAAGCCTCCCAAGATTGAGCAACCAAGAATCCTTCATTCAAGCAAGCAAATCATATAACGTAAGGATCATATCCCAGCGCCTAAGAAGTGGCTATAGTTTCTTAATTCTCATATAGATCAATCGAGGACCATCTCCACTATTATGGAAAGAGGAACAATATAATTAGCTGGAAAGTTTCCAATATACAAAGTTTTTTTGTGTTTTTACTAATCTATGTCAAAGATTTGATGTGTATGAGAGGTAATTTTTCACTGTTAACCTTCCCAAATATTATGGCAAGCCATCCCATGATACAGAAGATATCTGATACTGCCATTGCCTGCACACAAAAAGCCAAGTAAGTTGTCGTGAATTGTTGATTTATTGCCTACAACATGAACTAGAATTACTGGAATAGTAATATAAATTGATTTGAAAAATAAAATGCAACAATTCTTACGCGTTTTCTACCAATTATGTCAGCGACACGCCCACTCATTATAGCACCTACCATTGCTCCAATCGTCAATATTGAGCCAAAAACAGAGTACTGCATAGAAAAAAATGAGAAAATTATAAATGTACATTATAAATAGTTAAATAATTTTGCTGCGGTATTGAGTGATACTGTAATGTTGCATGAAGTATAAAAATGAAGATAAATACCTCAGACAAAGAAAGATCAAGATCATGCATGATTCCATCTTGGCTTGGAGAAGAAAATCCTACCTGGAAAAAGAACGTCAACTGTAAGTATAACAATCTTTTTGTTTAACTCTTAGCAACCTTTAACTATGATGACTTTCCGCTAATAAATATTGAATATCAACTCTTCTTTGTATTTTGATCTCACAAATAACTTTTCTTTTTATATTTTTTCAAAAGGATAATGTTCGTTTTAATGTTTCAGACATAATATAATCAGAAGTTCAGGGTAATTGGTTAAGGACGAAGACTCATCAGGGGCACTTCAGTCAAGTGTGTGGTCTATAAACTTGGACTTGAAAATCTCGAGTATTGTTAGGTCAAATATAACTTATGCTAAGAATGATACTCAGTGAGATAAAAGAAGAACAAAAAGAATATCTATGTAGATGATGTTTTCTGTCAAGATATAATGTATGACAATGAAAAAAGGAGACTCTAATAGGTAGCTGCAATTGTTTTGTACCAGATTCTGTTAAGAGTCATTTGTCCATAAAATCACTAACCTACAAGTATGAATTGCAAAATAATTATATAGATTCAGTCATCCCATGTAATTAATGCTGGGTGGGTTAATATAATGTTCAATTCACGCATAATTCTACACCCTAAAGCATATCATGCATATGTCTGGATGCATTCCTTCATTTGTCCTGTCACTCTAAGTTTCAGATTCTCATGAAACTCTGCAAGAATCTCTGGAGCTTGAAATTTTACCGGGGTTTTGCTTTACATCGATGTTAAACATGGTAGGTAGACAAGTATTCAACTTGGCATAATGCTGGCAAAGACACGGATTGGTAGCATTTCAAATACAATTCAATGTAATATTATTAGGAAATTGTTATTTAGCATGTTCACATAGTAATGCACTTGACGAAGTCATTTATGTTTGATCTAATTTAAAACAACGGTTTTAGAGCAAACATCTCAACTAAATAATTCTAAGCTATTTCCCAGGTTTTTGTTTTGAAATTAATTAATCTCTTATCGGATGTGACAAAAACTGTAATAGTAAGAAAATTAAGCTTTAAAGGCAGCTATAAGTTGGATCAAAAGGCAAATAGATCACACTGCTGACAATGCTTATAAATGAAGTAATTATTATGAAACTCCCTTGAGGTTTGACAGTTTGTTATGAAAATCCCAACCTTTTTTTTAATTATAAAACGCCCTGCTGTTAGAAAAAAATATTAAAACTCATTTATATTCAAAAACTACCTCTTCTATCTCTTACCATACATTCCCTAAAGATTAGATATTAAAAATTACACCAAATAGATGCTAAAATCAACGGGTTGAAAATATTACCTTAGTCTTCTGTTAATTTTATTTTCTTTGTTATATGGTTGTAGTTACTTAGGTTTGATATGAAAAAGGGGAGCTAGGTTTGGCAATAGTCCGAGAAAGAAGAGAAGCAATATTGAGGGGTGTTCTAGAGAAAATTGTAGAAATTAAATGGGTTTTGATTTTTTTTTTTAACAGGGGTGCTGTCAAGGAAAAATAACGTTAAGAGGTTTCATAATAAATAGTGAAACGTAAAGGGGGTTTCATAATTGTTACCCTATAAATAATGAAAGCAGCACGACTCAGAATCATCATAAATCTAATCCTCGTTACAATTTAAAATAAATTCTTAAAACTAAGAATTTGTTTCGAAAAAAAAGGTTTTATATATTGGTCCCTTACATCTTTAATATTTTAAATTACTCAGCCTAATCAATTAAATTTCTATTAAATCCTTCAAACCTTAGAAGTCATTCCAAATTGGTGCATGTAGCTAAGCTACCAATTGATTTGAGAGGAGTATTCTATTTAACTAAATTTTTTTCATGGATTTTCAGTGGTACTCAACCGTTTTAGTTATTCCAAGCTCAGAAATATTTCTTATAACAATGTAATATTAAAAAAAACTAAGGGTAATATTGACCATAGAAAGATTTTTCTGAACTCGTACTTTTAAAGTTTTCATAGTGTTTTTTTTGTGAATTATGAAATTTAGGGGATTTTTATAATTTTTTAAACTTTTAGGCCTTTTCTACATATTACAAATTGTTTATAGACTATTTATAATTCTTATGCTTTTAATTTACTAATTAATTTGAAATTCTCAGTGTGTTTTTTATAAGTTTTGAATTTTAATGTTTTGTTTGTAATTTTTAAAACTTTAAAGGTATTTTCTATAAATTATATATTATGTAAGGGATATTCGTAATTCCTATATTTTTAATGTACTGTTAGGTTGGAAATTATTAGGATTTTTGTAAATTTTACAATTTGAGGGTTTTATTTTGCAATTTGTAAAAAGTTCAGAGTGTGTATTGCAAGTTCTATAAATTTTTGGGGGTTGTTTGTGTTATTTGTAGGTTTTTATTGTGTTTATAGGTTTGAAAATTTTAAGGTTTTTTGTATAAATTTTAAATTGTTAGGGGTGTTTTTGTAATTTTTAAAACTTGCAAGATATTTTCTCTAAAGTCAAAAAACTTTCGGTTTTCATCTAGCATATGTTTTTTAGATTTCTCACTGAACTGAAATAACTGAAATTTGTAATTTTCAAGACGCTTTAATAAACTTTTGAATTTATAGGGGTGTTTTTGCAATTTAAAAAACTTAGAGAATATTTTTTACAAAGTCCAAAAACTTTTAGATGCTGGCTAGCATATATTTTTTAGATTTTTCTACGAACTGAAATAATTAAATGATTTGAATTATATGAAACGTAACTCTTTTATCCAATAACATTTTAAGTCTTATTATGAATAGAATAAATCATTTAGTTACCAAATCAAAGAAGATAGGATAATTAAAATAAATTAGGATAGCAATGTAATATTTAAAAAATTAAGGGTAATATTGATCATAAACAGATTTTCCAGCTCGTACTTTTAAAGGGTGTATAGTGTATGACTAGTTAAGCTTTGAGGTACTCAATAGCAATTTCAATAACTCGGGGGAACAATTCATAATATTAAAGACCTCAGCTACCAATATTGAGGAGGGAAAAAAGCTGCTTTAGGAATTGCGGTTAGCCGTAGTCTGGTAACTTTGTACAATACTGGTAGTTTGAGGGCACTTTGCCAAAAAGCACCGAGATGACGTACGGAAGTACCCCAAGAATTGGCCGCGAAGTCGGTGAGGGGTTTAACGAAATTTATTCTTTTATTCATGAATAAAAAAGGGAGGGAAAATAGTACCGAGATCCCAAATTCGAAGGAGCCAGCGACGGCGACCATGGTGCTCATCACCACCATCCATATCGACGGCGACGGCGACGGCGATGAAACCAGAGGCCTCTGCATCTCCTCGTCTCTGGTCGCTTTCTCCATCGCTAGAGAGAGAGAGAGAGAGGGTCCAAGAGTCGGGGGTGGCGGGTTCAATGCTTCAGCTGCACCCAGATCGGGATCAAAGCAGGTACCTTTATTATAACCTCAAACGCCACAACTTTAGAGAGCTGGCGACAAATGTGACAGCATTAATTTTGTTTCCTTTCGGGGTAAAAAAATTCAATCAATGATTTGATCCTTTCTCTTCTTTGTCTCTTGTTGGAATTTTCAAATCCTTCCTCTTTTTTACTGGTTCTCCCTGCTTGCTGTTATATTACGGGATCTCTATTCTCGTCCGTAGATCAAGATCTATGCTTGCTATTCCCTTGTCATAATCATTAGAAGATGATTGATAGATAACTAGGGCAGTTTCAAACAGGCTGATATCAGTAGCTTTCTGTAATTAAAATCTTGGTGAAATTAAGCTTCGTTTTTAATTTTTATGGCGCCGGCTTTGACACTGATTTCATTACTTCCTCTAATACCAGTGTGTTTTGGAAGTTATTTTTCTGATGTTGATGTTTTCTGTCATTTCACAATTGCGAACGAGACTGGTGCAATGAGGTTATACAGTGCGATCATGCGCGAGTCCACAAGTCTAGTGAGCCTCAAGGATCATATCACATGTCAGATTTACAGCTTTTATTCAAATTAGCAAAAGATTGATTTATACATGCCATCCTTTCCTTTTTCGTCCTGAACGAGACGCGATCGGGATGAAAAACATCACATTCCTGTTGCGTGTACGTAGCATGTTATATGCATTTACATGAATATGTTCTCTTTTTCCGGAGAAAAGGCCGGAGCCTGAAATTTATTGATAGAATATCTAATATATACAGAGATGAGTTCACACGAGGATGGAGGATGAGAAAAAACTAGAAGTTCACTTAGATCTTCCAGTTTTACACAGATATGCATGAATTATGTTTTCAGTAGAGTCGCAAATGTAGAGTTTATTTGGGTGCTCCCTTGAACTAATTTCTTGTGTGCCATAAAGTTCCGTATCTTTACTTCTTGCATGTATACATGACAGAATTAGATTAAACATAGGAACATGTGGAAAATCTCTATAAATTGGAGGTAATGTGTATCACTTGCTGTTTGCTACTCGCATTCTTACACTAAACAACACGCTCTATAGAACTCATTCCGGCGTTTATGCATGTCATCCTTGCACAGAGCCCATACTCATCTCTTGTGGCAATGGCCGAGGAGACTGAAAATTCCTGGGTATCAAATTCGCTCCAATAAATGATCAAATTTCAAGCTATCAAATTCCCTCCAATAAATGATTAATCTGAGTTTTATCGGGCTTCCTTCTTGTTCAGTGATGCTTGAATTTCTTCTAGCGTTTTGCCCTTTGTTTCTGGTACTACTCTTGCTACAAATAGAACTGTTATTGCAGAAGCAGCCGAGAAGAGAAAAAAGGTACCTGAAATAGAAACAGAAATAGATGACAATTTCAGTTTTGAACATTGCAGCTTATCAGAATTTGTATTCTGGCAACTTAACAATACAAACTACTAGGAAATATTAGCATAGGAAACTTTAGGCTGGAGCAAAGAGAATAATGGCAAGTTTGCCACCAATACACTCCTTACAATCTTATGGCTAAAAACTCTGTAAATAGATGTATGCCTTCACAAATTGCCTATCATAAACAGCAAATTTACAATATGATTTTACCTGAAGGGCTCCAGCTCATAAGAAAATTGAAGGCGTAGGTCATCAACCAGGAACCAAACCAGCTAATTAGAGTCGCTAAGCTTCCAGCAATTCCTTTAATATTGATGTGGAATATCTGCCATCAACAGATTGATATAGACGTTAATCATATTGGCCTACTTTTTATCAAAGAAGGTTTGCCCTACTTTTAACAAAGAAAGTTCCTGTCAAATATGAAAATTGGTCAAGTTAATTTTTCGCACCTCTGACATCATTACCCATGGAACAGGTCCCATTCCTATTGAGAATGACCCACTATACACCTGTTTCATAAATGATATCAGAAAGGAGGATTCTGTTATGAACCTGACAAGCATAGTTCTTTGTATTGTGTATTTAGAACTTTGATATTTTCCTAAAGAAGAAAACATGGTATAACTTACCAAGATACCTGAAAGAGCAAGCGAAGGAACCCACTCCAAAAAAAATTCATGGCCCTGTTACAGAATTAGATAGATACCTTTGTTTTACATCTAGAATCACTGGTAACGTATCTTTAAACGTGCAGTTAAATGTTAAGTGCCTTAGAATTACCTTCAAGTAGAATGATATGCCTGTAAGGAAGCAACCTACAAATGTTCCCGATGCTGAAACCTGAGACATAAGAACCTCACTCCTGTTAACCAGTGTTTTATATCACATTAGTTTGGCAATAAAATGCTCACTAGTCTCCTACCATTAGAAGAGGCCGTCTTCCACTCTTGTCCATTAGAATAGCACCCGCTGCTGTAATGGGTACCTGTTAAAGGAAGTAGATTTATGATTTTATCCGTAAAAACTTCTGATATAATTAATCTAACATGATGAAGTGAGAGGAGTTCTAACCTGTATACAGCCAATTAAAATGTTTCCAAGGTTGCCTGAAGCAAAGCCTGCAGAAACAAAGGTCTCACTTGCATAGAATCCAATTGCATTTACTCCTCCAAGTTGTTGAAGCATCATTAGGCCAAATGCTACCTGTGCATGGAAATTCCTTCCATCAATACTTTTCTTTTGCTAAAAATATATGATAAATACTGATTCATCTACATTCAGTAAGAAATAGCAGTAGAAAGGTTTCCTACAATAACTGAATGGATGTATCCGCTCTGGAATAGGTCTTGAACTTTAGCCTTGGGAAGGCTCTGAAGAGTTTCTATGTATTCCTGTCAAGAAAATTAGCTTCTTGTTACCCTTTCATTCTGTTACAATTGAAAGTATTGACGACTACAACGAGTAGTTTCTGGTTATGATTAGTTACTTCAATTTCTGCTGCTTCTCTAGAGACATCAGCATTCTCTCCACGTAGTTTTTGTAATGCTACTTCATACTCTTTTTGGTTCCCCATCCTTGCCTGAACAATTTTTACACATTCATGGTGTCAGTATTGTTCACGTTTAATTATTTAGACACAGAGCTTTATGCTCTATCAAGTAGAAATATGCATAAGGTTCTAATGCATACATACAAAAAGGCACGTGCACATATCTGAAGTCAAGAATGCACACAAACATCTCATGTATCAATGCAAAGGTCACTTCATGAGGACACCAACTTGAGACTCCACAAAATTAGTAATGATAAAGCAACACCTACACCAAAAAATAATTTTTTTGACATTTCTCATCCATGTCTATTGACTAAATAATGCAAAGTTTCTGATTTCTAGTTTGGCCTTACGAATTGAAAATTCAGAAACTTAATGGGATAAGCATATGAAATATCTATCTGAAAATGTTTACATACTTGAGCACTTTATGTTAATTTGTGAAACTGTTGTATCTTTGACTGTGTAGGTTATGAATAAAATGCTGAAAAAGGGATTAGAGATGGGCAAAAAGGTGGGATGGTGGGAATATAGAACATGAAGAAGGTTCTGAAGTTTTTCGAAAGTTCAAGATGACAACCAAAATATTTAATCCTTAACTTTGATCTCCTGTTATGCAATTGGAATGAAAGAGTTCAGGTCCTGATCCACTAGATCAAAATTATATTCATTCGCAGAATTTCTCTTACCAGCCATCTTGGAGACTCTGGAATGAGAAAGAGGCCTGCAAGGAGACTAAAGCATGGAAGGAGTCCTGCATGACAGGAAACAACTTGTAAGTTTCTTCACATAGAGTTCATATATATTTTTGTATTTGCTACAGTTCTTTTTATTGCATGATTATTCTACTATTTGACAAATATATGTCTATAAATATTTAAAAAAGCTTTACCAATGGCTGCTAGGATGCGCCAGTTAACAAATGTACCGATTATAAAAGCAGTTGAACCACCAGCACAGATCAAAAGCTGCTTAGATTAGCAAACACCTTTCTTAGCCAATTATGCTTGTTAATTGGAATCTACTTGAAATCCAAAAGGAAAAGGCTTTCTACTAGCTACTGACCTGGTTCAAAGTAGTAAGCGCTCCTCGTAGATTCTTAGGTGCGATCTCAGCAATGAAGACTGGCACCTATGAAATAGTAATAACTGTGAGGAACATTAACCAAACCTGAGCATCTCCAACAGCTTCTCCAAAATTTTCTCCAAAATGGGGAAGCAAAAGTCATATTTTTTAACTAATTTTTACACCAACTCCAACAGCTTCCCCATTTTGAAGAATCCCTTTTTTCTTCCAAAAATTTGGAGAATGCTGCAGATTTGGGGAAGCTTCCCCATTTTTTCTCCTCCATCCCTATTTTGGGGAATGAGATGGGGAATCTGTTGGACCAAAAACCTAACTAAACTCTCCAAATGGAGAAATGGGGAAGCTGTTGGAGATGCTCAACAATGTAACTGTTTGTATTTGGGAGTTAATGTCAGAGTGCAATTTTGCTTGGAAAAGCAGTACAACCGAAAGAGATATGTTAGTTTTTCAAAGATATATGTTTATTCAAGGATTGTTCGACTTGTACCACATAAGAGAGGACTCCAAGACCATAACCAGTGGAGAGTCTCCCAAAGTAAAGCATTAAAGCATCCTGTTTATGATGAAAGTATGAAAATCATAAGTAGAGAGCTTAACTGAGTTAGAACATATCCCAGCATAAGAAATCTACTAGGTGAGGTCATTAACCTTTGCAAAGTAAATAACGAGCCATCCTATAATGCATACAGTAGCTGATACTCTCATTGCCTGCTCCAGATTTCCAAAAGTTGTATTTTTATGATAAAGAAATAGACAAACTGACATCATGATGGCTAGTAAAAGTTGGTGTTGAAATTGATTGAGGAATGAGGACAATGATGGCAAGGGATGCAGAATGAAGAGCCAAAGAGGTCATGAGAAGGAGGAAGCTGAAGCTGGAAAAAATTGCCTAGGTTAACCTAGGAAATAGGTTGTAACAGGAAGTTAACAAGCTTTAAGCACCAGATTTCTTTTTTACTAGGAAAGATTGATGAATATGGAGCCAATAGGGATCGATGATAATGGTTGCAGTTATTAAGAAGAAAATAAGTAGGATCATGCCGGTTTAATTTTATGTTTCTTACTCCTTTGCGACCGAAAAAATCAGCAATACGCCCACTAGTGATCGCACCGATCATGGCACCAACAGTCAATACAGAGCCAAAGACTGCATACTGAAAAATTGGCATGGAATGAATGTATTTAAAGAAATATCACAAACTTAACAATTAGGAAGGCCCTATAGGTAAATTTTGTATTTGAATTTAAGGTCCAGCAAAAGTTTGATCATGTGGATTAGAAAGCTCTAGGCAAAAAAAACTCAGGACTAATGAACATCATAGAACAATATATAGAAACTTACTCATGCAAAAAGTAGTAAAATTTAAAATATATATCATTGACAGTAATATATATACATATAACATATGTTTATATATACACACACACCGACACATATATATATATACATATATACATGTGTGTGTATAATATATTATATATGTGTATGTGTGTGTGTGTGTGTGATGTAATATATCTATGATATGTATCTGTGTGGTGTTTGTTATATATATTATATTATATATATATATATATATATATTATATATATAATATATAATATATATATATATATATATATATATATATATATATATATAGCAGAGAGAGAGAGAAGAGAGAGGTAACTTATGTCAACTTAAGTGGACAAGAGGACTTTGTCCATCAAAGTTTCTATCCACTCATATATATATATATATAAAGTCTCTTCATATCTTGCCATGGTCCCTAGGAATCATCAATGGATAAAACTTTGGTGGATGCGTCCACTTAAGTTGACATAAGAATTTTTATATATAATAATATTATATATATATATATATAGAGTAAAACTTCCTATCAACTTAAGTGGACGTCCACTTAAGTTTCTTATCCATGATGATTACTTGATTGAGCTACATTATAGATGATCGCCCTCGTTAACTTGACTACATATTCTAAAACCCTAACACACCAAATTTGCGGGTGAACCTGTCGCTGTTTGACCCTCCGTCGAGCCATGTAAAAAGTTCTATTCATTCGAAACCGTTAAAATTTGATACGAGTGGATGAAGGGCTCAAACCACAACAGGTTACCCCAAATTTGATGTGTTGGGCGTTTTAAGATTATGTAGATTAAGTTTAAGCGGAGCGGATCATCTATAATGTAGCTCAATCAAGTAATCATCAATGGATAAGAAACTTAGTGGACGTCCACTTAAGTTGATAGGCAGTTTTTACTCTATATATATATATATATATATATATATATATATATATATTCTCACTATTCTTTGTCTGTAATGTTACCTAAATTAATGAATGCGTCTTGGTTAAGTTTTTGTTGTTTTCTTCCAATTTTTGAACTGTTTCTGCATAAATTGGTGGTCATCAGTGATTTGGGTTGAACAAAGTTATGGAGATTTAAGTTTTCCTTTTGCTAATTATTAAGAGTTCTTTATTTTTGTAATGGTTTTCAAAGACGATTGTTTTTCTGGAGCCTTAGTAGGTTTATATCATAGTGAAAAAATGCAGAGATACATAATTAACGAAACATATATGACATGTCAGTACCTATAACATAAAAGTATCGGGGAAGGGGTTAACTAATCACTAATTCATAATTTATTTGGTTAAAAGTTGATTCCATACCCTTCAGTACCATTTTTGCTTCTTATTATTTACTACATTCAGTTAAAGTCTAACTGGCGATAATAAACATTTTTGGTATCTGTGAACTTTATCAATTACAAGTTATTTTGTTTTCTAATGAGGGCAAGAATAATAATAGACTGCATTTCATGTGAATCTTAAGTGATCATACGCAGAAGTCAGTGTTTTCATAATGTTTGGCATGCCTAATGATTGATCAATCAGAGTGAGACACTTCACATGGACACATGAGGTTATGGTTTAGCTGGCTCTGCTACACTTCGCTTATACCAGTATATTGTCCCAAATTAAATTTAAAGCAATATCTGTGACTACTGCTACCTCAAGACAGTCATTAATCTAATAATTGATGTATGCACTTGTCATTTTCCTTTTATTTAAAGACAACATGCATCTATAAAAACAACTTTAATATGCAGTAGTTCCCATCGCTGATTTCTCTGTTTGATAGTTCTTATGAGTCCCTATCTTAAAGGGAGAGAGGCCTAATTTTTGTTATGGAAATAAATGCTTGGTATCTTCTCTTGCCAAATATATGTCTTAATACGGTACATTGTTCTGGCCATACTCCGGTTATCTTTGCAGTAATACCAAAACAACTACTTGATCACCCAATCTCAAATGCTTCAACATGTTTATTGTCGTTTTGCGATTTTCAAAGAGCATAATATTAGAATTAGTCTAACTAAAATTTAGGTGATTTTCTGATATCAAAACTATTTTTGTTCAGAAACTACAAATAGTTCTACACATCATTGCAACTACTTCTAGGTTCATTGCCTACCAAAAACTTGTGCTTGTTTGTATTTCAGAATAGTCCAGGTATAAGTTGAAAGGTATAAAGGGGGTGTACATATTAGTTTTATATCCAAAAAGGCTATTTTAAAATATCCTCACCATCCTTTATGTTACAGGATAGAAAACTCTCCAAAATATGTGAAGGGTATTTTCCCGTATTAGTGTAAGTTATTTGGCATCTTGCAAGTTATCAAATATGCCATTCGTATCATATATTGATCTTCTTATAAACAAAACAATTAGTTATATGTCATCAAAAGTTTTCATTCCGCATTTTTACTGTTGGTAAGTAACAGAACCTGAATAGGAACAGAAAGGTGCACAATAATGACTTCGGAATATACAATAAGTTTTGTGTAAGGTTAGTAGGTATCTTTCTAATTTGTTAGGTAGTGCTTAATGCTACCGTGGGGTTTGTTGTCTAATGCATAATGCAGCTAGGTTATTTATATCTGATCGCTTTTTAAGTCCCAATGAGGAGTCAAACTTTTGATAGTAACAAAATTAGAAATCTTTACAGCCTTTCAAGTGTAACATAACTACTAACTACGAAAATTTATATTCACAAAAATATCATCCTCTCTCTCCTCAGGAAACAAAAATACCTCTGCAAGAGTCAGGCCGATGTCAGTCCTGATCCCTGATTGAGTCGGTGCAGAATAACCCACCTGCACATTATCACCCATAACTGATGATTGCTGTATAAAAATAAACTTTGCAGGATGGCAATAAATATGGAAGATTACTTACACAGAGTCCAAATTCGAAGGAACCGTAGACTGCCATGGCCGTACTAAGCAAAACCATCCGCAACGAATCTTCGCCATTTGACGAAGACTCTTCACTACCGCTAGCGACATCCTTCTGCTTTACAAGAGGCTCAGCTAAGTCATTCTCCTCCACGTTTATTCCCCTCTCAATATCTTCCTTAATAGCCATTGTTAGAAAAAAATAATAATCTATACAGTTAAGAGTTAGAGAGAGAGAGAAAGAGGGATGTGAAGAAAGAGGAGTAATTATTCTTCTCTTCACGACGAACCAAATCAAATTGATGGGTATTTATAGTGAGAAAGTAGGAAGAGTTGGATGTACGCGAGCCAAGGTTTCATGTGGACTAGTAGCTGTCGATGGGCCCCGAACCAACTCAGTCATGAGAAATATCTCATATGGTTATACAGGCGGTTTGCATTTCACAAATGCTTTTAGGGGGTGTTTGTTTCAAATCCTATAATTTAGAATATGGATTTCATCATGTGATTTAAATTCCATAGGTTTTCTGTTATGGATTGGGATTTCTAAAATGTTGTTTGTTTCATTAATATTTTGGGATTTGGAATACTACAACTTATAATATTTTGTTTGTTTCAAGCTCAAATTGTAGCATTACCAAATGTCAAAATTTTGTAATATGATGAATATGCTATCTTGGTAAGGTTACCTCCCACAAAAAGACAAAATTGAGTTTTGCCAAATCCTCTCCAATTGAGAGGTAAGCACACCAATTTATGAGATTTGTCAAAATCCTCTTCAATTAAAAGGATTTGGAAAATTCTAAAAATTAGGCACTTTTTGCACTTTTGGGATTCAATATTCTAAATTTTTTCTTAAAACAAACACTATATATAGAATTCCAAAATACAAAAAAACTCAATTTTTGATTCCAAAACTTGTAATCCATACCAAATATCAAAAATTTTGGTGAAACAAACACCCCCTTAAGTCGTACCTTATCACAACTACCATTATGAAAGGTCAGTTCGCCAAAGTGAAGATAGACTAGTTCAATTCCAAATTGTGACCGGTTTAGTCTCAAGATTTTGCCTGATAAAAGCAATTTAGTTCTGGTCTAGTTATTTGCGAAAGAGAGCCGGCCGAGACTGAATATGGTTATGTTCTGCTAAACCAGTTAAAAGGGGAGTTGCCTGAGACACCCTAAAAAGATTAGTACTGTTTACCGTAATCCTCTATTGTTCATTGAACAATTACAATTTATTTTAAAATTTAATACTTATCATATCGTGGGGTGACACTCATTTTCATCTTCTCACTTAAGAACGATAGTAAATGTATATTGAATAAATAGACGATTAAGATTAAACATAGCAATATCGTTCCTTTATTTGATAGGGAAAATAAAAATAAAAATCTCAATCATTAGTCCCTTTGTACACGAAATGGCCCACGCTATTTCAATATTGCCGTAGGCAGCAAATATCCACGTAATAGAGACAAAAAGAGAGATGTTTGTTCGTGTTTAAGTCAAAGACAGAATCATGGCAGCTAAAAAATAGATGATTGATTACGTTGATCTTAGTCAGCTTTTGATTTTTAAAATTGAGTGTGTAGTTTCGGGCTAGGATTGGGGACTAAAAGTTTGGTTTCCTTAGTATCCATATTGATAAAGTAAGAGAGAGAGTCTTGGGTAAATTTCTTTTAAGTTGAATATTGAGTGTGTACATATATTTGTACAAGTAGAGGAATGTGAGGTGTGTTCTCACAACCAATGTGCGACTAAAAACCCACTACTAACACTATTATCAACAGCCCCCTTCAAACTCATGTTGGATCAAACAAAATGAGTTTGCATACAAAAACTGGAAACAATGAACAGGTAAGATCTTTATGAAGAAATCTGCAAGCTCGTCGGCGGATGACACATGATGAAGCAGAATTGTCTTATCCTTGATAACTTGTTGTCGGATAAAATAAGCGTCAATCTCAATGTGTTTGGTCCTCTCATGAAATACTGGATTATTAGCAATCTGGATGGCACTCTTATTATCACAGTATAAAGGAGTAGGAGTTGAAACAGAAATACCGAAATCACTGAGAAAACGACGAAGATGAATAATCTCTTTAGCTATTGTGGACATTGCACGATACTCTGTTTCGGTGTTGGAAAGAGAAACAACATCTTGTTTCTTACTTCGCCAGGAAATTAGGGAATCACCAAGAAATATACAATAACCTGTGGTAGATTTTCTGGTAGTGAGATCACCAGCCCAATCAGCATCAAAATATGCATAAAGCTCTAACTTGGATGTAGCAGGAAACGGAAGAGAGCGAGTGCTAGTACCCCGGAGATACCGAAGAATCTGTAATAATGCAGTATAGTGTACAGAACGTGGGGCACTAACAAGTTGACTGACAATGCCAACAACATGAGAGATATTTGGTCGATAGATGCACAGATAGACCAACTGACTAACAAGATGTCGATATCGGGTAGGATCGGATAGAGGCTCACCATTAGTAGAGCGAAGTTTGACATTCTGTTAGAATGGAGTATCGATAGTTGCATCGTTGGTTAGCTCAGCTCGATCTAGAATATTCGAGAGATACTTCTGTTGAGACAGTAGTACACCCCGCGGGCCTTGAGAAATTTTTAGATCAAGAAAATACCGAAGAGATCCAAGATCCTTCATGTGGAACTGTTGTTGCAACTGAGATTTTGCGTAATGTATACCAGCCACATCATCACCTGTAATGATCATATCATTTACATAGATTAGTAATAAAACTGTGCCACACGATGTAGTGCGAACAAACAGATAAGCATCTTGATGACTTTCCATAAAGCCCGTCTTGAGCACGACATCGTGAAAACACTCAAACCAAGCATGGGGTGCTTGCTTGAGACCATAAACAACACGACGAAGTAGACATACATGTCCCAGAGGAATATTAGACCCTGGAGACGGTTGCATATATATTGTCTCAGATAAAGAGCTATGGAAAAAAGTATTTTTAACATCCATCTGGTATAAGGGCCAACGATGAGCAGCATCGATCGCAAGAAGAGTATGAACGGTGGGCATCTGAGCAACAGGAGCAAAGGTCTCCTCATAATCAATACCTTGGCATACCGTGCATGCATGACATGTGGGCGTTTGCCTCGACGAAGAGCAAGAGGAACCTCAGGCGGGGGAGATGCTGGCGCAGGGGCATGGAGGTCAACAGTATTTTTTGGAGTGGGTGTCGTTTCTATGGGATAGGGATCAGATGGTGGAAGAGAAGGCTCGGGTGAGGGAGAGTCAACAGAAGGAGATGGAGAGATTTCAGGGAGATCTCGAAAGGAGAAAGGAAGTGAGTGATACAGTTGGCGAAGAAGCACGATCAGTAGTGTGTGTTTGGAGTAAAATTCCTGGTTTCTCAATGTGATATTTGTATTAATTTAAATGTGTTATTACAAATCCTTTTAAGAAATTCAGAAAGAATACAACAGAAGCAAAGGGTCGGCCCTTCTTGTTTAATGCGGGTTCTTTCGGTAGCGGTAGGATGCCTCCCTCAAATGCTTGCGTCGAGCTTGCTTCCCTTGGACGATATGATCGACGTTGCGGTTTGAAGCTTTAATGTCTGCAGAAGCTTCGGTTATGATCGAGTTTGGGAGTTTGGATACCAAGGCCCAAGTGTCTGGAAAGAGGGTCTGACAGAGAAGGCCTCGAACGAGTGAGCAGCTGGGAAAGCTCCGAATTTCCAATCTGTGAAGCCGATGAACTCCGAGCCTTTGCCTCTCAACCAGCCAGCCAGCCTCCAACCTCAGCTGACCAACCAATGCCGAACAACTAATGCCGAACAACTGATGCCGAACCCCTTTTAACGTTGGCCAAAGGGGCCTTCTTATAAGCCAAGCAAGGCATGGGCCTTTTCTTAATTCGTGGGATTTGACCGCTGTGAGGCGGGGGGCATGCTTGATTATGGCCTAAGTGTGAGTAGGCGGGCCTACTCTCACAAGCAAAAGATCAGGCGAGAGCATTTGTAGGCAAGCTCCATGACTGGGCGTGGGATGTGACCACTGAAGAGAGGGCCATACCACAACTTATCATAGCCTAGGGTGTAGGATATGTAGGCCTATTCTCATAGGCAAGTGGCCAGACGGGCGAGCTCAATGGCTTTCAGGCGAGCTTTTGTGGGAAGTGACCACTTGGGGTCCGCCAGTCGCTTCAGTTTGTAGGCATTGATGCATGTGCATAGGGCATGGTTGATCCCTCAACTTGTAGGATACGACCATGATGTGACTATTCCTATGTCCCAAGTGTCTTGGCGGGTGAGCTCAATGGCCTTCCTCTGGAATTGAGGTTCAGGCGAGCTGGGGGGTGGCCGAACTTTGATCGCCAGGCGGGCTCTAGAATCGAGACGTCGTTAGGCGAACTCAAGAAGTCGGGCGAGCTCAAGGGCCTGGCGGGCTCTGGAACCGAGGTGAGTTTGGCCTTATTAGGCGGGCTTGGCTTCACCAGGCAAGCTCTAGGCTTGGTTAGGAGAGTTTAAATGCCAGGCCCCCCTTTTGTTGGGCTCGAGGAAGCCTAGAATAGGCTAGACTTGGTGTTGACATGGTAGGGACATGTCAAACACTTTGATGGGATGTGTCCTGAGGATGGTTCCTTGTTCCACATGCCTCCCCTTAGCCTATGCGAGAGATGATCCAAGTGGGCCCTGACTTGCGATAGGGAGCCAGGAGGATGTCGACTGAATGAGTTTGTCAGTCGACTGGACTCACGCCCGCAACCATGTCATAAACCACCATTGAGTCTGCAATGAGTCGTCGATCCTCTTAGGCAATTTTTTTTACTGCCTACAGTGTGGAGGAAAGAAGCACGATCAGTAGTATGGAGGAAATTGAAATCATCGGAAGCAGAATAAAATAGAGTATCCTTTTCCAACTAAACGTGTCGAGATATATGAACTCGATGAGATGCGGGATCATAACAACGATAACATCGATGTTCCGAACTAATTCCTAAATAGACACAGAGAATAGCTCTGGGAGACAATTTATCACGTTCGTGAGATGGCAGAAGAACGAAACAGCGACAATAAAAAACGTGGACCAGATCATAACGGGGAGGATGAGTATAAACACGACTATGAGGAGTAGCACCGGAAAGAGAGCTAGATGGAGTGATATTAATGGCATGAGTAGTAGTGAGAATGGCCTCAGCCCAGAAATGACGAGGAACAGAGTAAGAAATGAGCATGGATCGAGCGGTATCGAGAATATGACGATGTTTGCGTTCAGCAATACCATTTTTCTCATGAGTGTAGGGACATGACTGTTGAAATATAGTCCCATGAGAGGACATGATAGAGCGCATGATAGAGGATAGGTACTCTTTGGCACAGTCAGAACGAAAAACTTTAATACGAGCTTGCCATTTAGTGAAGATCATCGCAGTGAAGACTTGATAAGCAGCAAGTACGTTAGAGCGATTTTTAAGTAGGTAGACTCATGTATAACGAGAGAAATCATCGATAAAACCAACATAATATAAGTAACCAGATGAAGAAGGCAGAGGAGCTGG